ATTAATTGAATCAATGAATGATTTTGAAAACAAATTAAGAAGTAGCAAAAAAAAAACTGTTTAAGTAAGTAAATTGCCTTGAACCTTTTATTCAAATCAGAGTTTATTCTTGATAAGCCTCCTTTGAGTGATGTCATAACAAATTTAGCTGTAGTAAACAAAGTCATATACGATACGACAGATTATATTCGAGAAATAGCATCATAATTTGATGAGGATCCTAAATATAAAAAAGTTTTAAATAGTATGTCCCAAGCATTTGCTAATAGCAAACTTTCTACTCCATCCTGGTTAAATTAATACACAAAGACCAAGATCTAATGATAAAGGCCAAATATCCAATTGAATATTTTAGGGAGAATCTTTGATTGTTTTCTTAATTTGAAAACTAACAAATTTTCAATCTGAATTTTATAAACTAATTTAAAACTGACTTAGCCTATGGTTTTCAATATAATTACAAATATAAAGGTTGAAATACTTTAAATGACAAAAAATTGCAAATTAGTTATTAGATGAGCATTAAGATTGTAAAACTTTAATTTAGCATATGACTCAATAAAATCTGAATAGAAAAATATTTAATAAAATTAACCTACTTTTAGAAAATCTAAAATTGGAATAATGCTTATTAAATTAGTGGCTTCAAAAAAGAGGTAAAGATTTTCGGGATAGATAATATTTGCATACTTTAAATACGATTAATACTGCAAGTTGTCCAAAATTTCAACAAAAAATTGGAAATTTCCAGAAATCAACATGATTACACTACCAATTCCTTAAGCCATAATCATTGCTTCTTAATATTTAGTGAGTTGTCTAGTCTTTTCAACATCAGATTAACTGAGTTTAGTATATTATTTAAGTAATAATTATTCAGATGGATTTAGTAATTCCAAATCATATTAATTAAATGCCACATTCATTAGAGTTATTTATAATCTTGTGAGACTACTATAAGTTGATGAAAAGAACTCTAATTTTACATAAAATTAGTAGTTAAGAATTTAATTTATAACTGGTTAGAAGTTAGATTCTAAATTTATAGCATAATCTTCAGGATTTGTTTCGTCAACACTAAAATCAAAAAGAGATTATAAATCATAATTATCCCTAAAAAAGATTGCTTAGGAAAATGAAATCTCAATATAATATTTATTATATGTTTAGTTTAAGAATTTCACTGTCATATAAGGAGATTCAGAGTATTCACATTCTGAATAGCTATTGTTTTTGTCTTAACATTTATAATCAATTTCAATTTTACAATGTGAAGAACAACCATCGACATCAATAAGATTACCATCGTCACATTATTCATCATAAGATTTTATTCCACTTCCACAGTCATTCTAACATATATTTAACTCCAATTGAAAATATTGTTAACATTCCTAACAGATTCCTTCATCGCAATCTATACAATATTGAGGACAAGAATATTGGCAATTATAGCATCCATCAAATTAAATGTGATTTCCATCGTCGCATTATTCTGTTTACTATATTATACCATCGCCACAGATTGGAAGGCATATCCCATCTTTATCGATTTCTCCAGTTGGACAATTATCATAACAAGTACCATCAATACAATTATTGCATTCTGTTAAACAAGATAGTTGGCATTCATGATTTATCTCAACAAAAGGCCACAAACAAAGAAGGCATTTTTTTGAATCAATACAGAATTCACAATTTTCAGGACAAATAAATCTACAATTTATACATTCAACCAAATTTGAATCGCATTCTTCTTAAGATATAATTGCAACTTAATTGTCCCCACAAATCTATCGGCATGACCCATTAATAAGAGTCCAACCTTCTATGCAAGAAAAGCAATATGAATTTTAACATTAAAGACATTAAATCTGACAACTACCATTACATTTATAGCATCCTATTTCAATTAGACTAATTTGAAGTTCATCTTTGAATACTAGTATTCCTTTTGTAATCTATGATATACATTAGTTCTTTAATAGAAAATAATCAACTAAACATTTTTTACATTTTCCGTATTCACAAATTTCACAATATTAAGGACATTCCAATTTTTTGCTGACCTTTTCAATCTCTGATATTCCAAGATTACATTGGATGTCATAGTCATCACAACAACTAACATCATTCTTCTCAGTAATTTAATTTTGATTTGCACTTGAAGTAATACAATTTAGAAATCTAAAATTCGTTTTTATTTCCAAGCATTTACCATTAATTAATTAATATGTTGGATTACAATGCTAACAAACTCCAAAAATACATTAATTACAGTTTGATATGCATTAAAATTAACAATTATAGCATCCATCATTAGGAATAGTATTTCCATCGTCACATTCTTCATCCTTTTAAACTTTACCATCTCCACATACTTTCATTTGATTTTCTGCTTGAGTAAATGAAAATTAATTATAATCTACTTACATTTCATCTAATGAAAATTCTCCATAATTTCGATTACATATTCCATTAGAGTAATAATACCCTGAATTGCAGACCTAACATTAACCAAAAAGACATTTTTGGCAATTAACAGGACATGAAAACTTACATTCATGACACCCATCAAAAGGAAAGTCATTGCCATCATCACATTGCTCATTTCCTGTGATTATCTTATCTCCACAAGAAGGGTCGCAGTTTTTATTTTAATCATTATAATCCCATCGAGTATCACACATCAGACATTCTCCTCTAACACAAAATGTACATCCTTCCAAACATGATTCTTACTTAGCAAAACAACCATCAAATGGCACTAAATTGTCATCAACACATGAGATTAAGTTTATTGGCCCTCGTAAAATTATAGATAATTCACTGATACTTACAGTGCCATCTACACTATATATTTCTAATTTAATTTGATTTCTAGTATCTTCTATTGTCCAAGTTCTATAATCAACTTACTTTTTATCGCTAATTAGTCCATACTTCCATTCATCATTTATATAGACTCTAACAATTATAGGCAACGCTGAAATATATTCAATTCTAAATTGTATTATCAAGGAAAGATGATCGGGCAGTGTAAGATAAGTAATTGCAGAATCCCATTTATTTAATACAAGCATTTTAAGTTAAACTATAATTACTTACACTATTACAATCATTTGTCATTTATGTGAAAGAAGGAAATTTATTCTTTCTCCAACCTTCGAGCCCATCATCAAGGTTCTTCAGTTGAAAAAAGGACTTCCACAATATCCACATTGTACAATCATTAGTAGAATCTAAACAAAATTGGCATCCTGACTGACATTCATTTAACGTTATGGAGAAACCAGTAAGTCCCCAATAGTTCTTAATATTTAAAATAAAAAATACAGCGCTTGAACAATCAGAGTGTATTTCAACAATTATAGAATTTAATGTATGCAATAGGACATTACTATTTAATGAAGAACTATAGTCTGTACCAGCACCTGCACATAAATTCGATCCTGTATTATCTGGAAAAAACCAAGTTTTTGTCCATTAATCTATCGATATGTAAAAGTACTGTGAGGTTGGCCAATCATCAATTCTAAAGATATTTTTTATATTAAACTTCCAAAAATTGAAATCTATGCTCACGCCATAATGAGGTGGCAGTGAGAAATAATTCGTTATTGCAGTTTGTTATGACGAATAGCATCCAAAGATCTGATATCCCCCAAACATTAGGTTGCCTCCACAACTGTATGTATGAACAGTGGCTCCATTATAAGGGTTTTTAATTAACCATCCTAAATGAATATGATAAAATCTACCTTCGTCACCAGATATTGATGAAGTAACAAAATGTTAAATATAATATGCTTCAACAATTATTCCTAAAATCTGAAAATGGAAGAACCGAATAAACATTAAATAAATAATTATGTAAGAAAACTAAAATAAGTCTGATATAATCAATGTTTTATGACAAAACAAACTGAATCGCTTGCTATTCTTAGTGATAATAATTAACCAACAGTAGTGCCTTTCAATATACATATTTTATATAAAAGGTTTGGCCTCGATAGCTTTAACATAATTCTAACACTAAATATTTTTCTTCTGTATTTCTCGAAAAATGAGTTTTTATTTATATTTATATATTATATACATCATTTCAATAGGTAATTAGAAATATAATTATGGAATTTACTTCTCAAAAATATTTTCTTATTCATTATAAAAGTATATCTGAATATACATTAAATAAATATTCTGATATTAATTAGGTTTATTCCTTTTTTGGGTTTTCTATTCAATGGAAATCGTTTAAAACCATTTTTATCCCTATTTATCAAAAGATGATTATTAACATAATACAAATAAATAAGGTTAATTCAAGAAATTAAGATACATTCTTCATTTGTCTTTGTTAAAATAAATTCAGAATATATCTTGTTTTTATTTACAAAGAAATTGCTCAAATTAATTTATTTTTAAATTTAACGACCTTGTTCACCTCAAATAAATATATATCAATATATAATTATTAATTAAAACAATCCAACTTTATAGTTGATGAAAATTTAAGTTCTTATTTAATATTTACCTAATTATGACTTTTGAAAATTTTCATGAATTCTAAACATATTAATGATTGGAGCTTTATTTTTAAGAATAATTATATAGTTCATTCTAATTCTTTATTATTTTGGTTTCCAAAGATCAATAATTTAATTTATATAAATAATAGGAATATAACAAAATTCTTACCCATACACCGATGCTATCTTATGTATGGCTTATTCTAAAGAGATCCATTAAATTTTTAAATATTATGGTTATAACGAGCCTAATTTTTTTAATTATCTTTTAATTTCAATAAATAATGGACTAATGTTGATCTCCAATAATTCTAAATAATATGATATTTAACAAAATCATAACTAAGGATAAAGCATGAGACAGTTATTTCAGTATATAGAATCTCATTTAAAATTGAACTCTGATTGATGATATTTTATATATTTTAAAAATTGAGAGTATGTCCAAAATATAAAAAACAATTGTTCCCCTAAAATGATAAGTTCATGTAAATAATAAATCAGATGAAATGGATGAATCGGTTTTATACTCCCATTTCTTAAAGGATGATTGGTACTGATGCTTACATCGGAGGTGGTCCACAAATCAAAAATCTTTGATAATCCATAGTTTTCCCCAAGAATTTATCAAACATTTCTTTACTAAATCTCTCCTCAATAGTTTCTATTCCTTCAATTTTATCCTTTATTTTAATGATCAATCTCAAGTATTGTTTATCTAAGTATTTTTATAATTAAATAATTGGGAATAGAATATCAGATCCAATTAATTCTGATTTATTGGCTGCTGCAAAAAATAAAGTAATATGTATATTTGGATTGAATTAACAATCATAAGGATTCAGATTATCAGCTGTTTATTTGCCAAACTTGTTCAATGCGATTTGGTGAATAACAGTTTTTAAAAGAAAATCTAATAAATCTAAAAATGGAAATATTCCCGTTCCTCCACATATAATAACAATGTTGCCTCTATTAGGTAGACCATGAGGTGGTCCATAGGGGCCTTAAATATCATACATCTCATCCTTATGATTATGAATATATTATGAGAAACCACCCTAAGATTCGTAGCATTTAATCATCAATGGTAGTTCCTACAGGTATTTAGGTTATTAAGGAACTTTGGCTTATTGTTTTGTTGTATATATATAGTCAATGTACTTAACTAGTTCCTTTCTATAGGCAACATTTTCAGGAGCCATAGAAGCAACACATGTATATTATCGAATTGGAGTTTTCTTAGATTAAATTGATTAGATTTGAAAATACTTGCCAAATGAATGAATAGTTGTAAATTGAGATATTATATTGAATTTAGGATTAGTGAATCCAAAATAGCTTGTTTTATCATTTAATTTAGTAATAGTTTCCAATTTCCATTAAGTGCTATTATTTGCATTGTTTTCATCAACAGGAATTGTAAATGCAATATTATTTAATGATCCAATAACATGATTTTTTAATAGTACAATTGCATTTTAAGAATGAGGATACTATTTAGCTGTTCCATCTTCTAGTCCACAGCCTCCATAAACAAATCTAGATACTTCTCTACCTTTAACTCTTTCCCAAATGTATTAACNTTATAACGAGCCTAATTTTTTTAATTATCTTTTAATTTCAATAAATAATGGACTAATGTTGATCTCCAATAATTCTAAATAATATGATATTTAACAAAATCATAACTAAGGATAAAGCATGAGACAGTTATTTCAGTATATAGAATCTCATTTAAAATTGAACTCTGATTGATGATATTTTATATATTTTAAAAATTGAGAGTATGTCCAAAATATAAAAAACAATTGTTCCCCTAAAATGATAAGTTCATGTAAATAATAAATCAGATGAAATGGATGAATCGGTTTTATACTCCCATTTCTTAAAGGATGATTGGTACTGATGCTTACATCGGAGGTGGTCCACAAATCAAAAATCTTTGATAATCCATAGTTTTCCCCAAGAATTTATCAAACATTTCTTTACTAAATCTCTCCTCAATAGTTTCTATTCCTTCAATTTTATCCTTTATTTTAATGATCAATCTCAAGTATTGTTTATCTAAGTATTTTTATAATTAAATAATTGGGAATAGAATATCAGATCCAATTAATTCTGATTTATTGGCTGCTGCAAAAAATAAAGTAATATGTATATTTGGATTGAATTAACAATCATAAGGATTCAGATTATCAGCTGTTTATTTGCCAAACTTGTTCAATGCGATTTGGTGAATAACAGTTTTTAAAAGAAAATCTAATAAATCTAAAAATGGAAATATTCCCGTTCCTCCACATATAATAACAATGTTGCCTCTATTAGGTAGACCATGAGGTGGTCCATAGGGGCCTTAAATATCATACATCTCATCCTTATGATTATGAATATATTATGAGAAACCACCCTAAGATTCGTAGCATTTAATCATCAATGGTAGTTCCTACAGGTATTTAGGTTATTAAGGAACTTTGGCTTATTGTTTTGTTGTATATATATAGTCAATGTACTTAACTAGTTCCTTTCTATAGGCAACATTTTCAGGAGCCATAGAAGCAACACATGTATATTATCGAATTGGAGTTTTCTTAGATTAAATTGATTAGATTTGAAAATACTTGCCAAATGAATGAATAGTTGTAAATTGAGATATTATATTGAATTTAGGATTAGTGAATCCAAAATAGCTTGTTTTATCATTTAATTTAGTAATAGTTTCCAATTTCCATTAAGTGCTATTATTTGCATTGTTTTCATCAACAGGAATTGTAAATGCAATATTATTTAATGATCCAATAACATGATTTTTTAATAGTACAATTGCATTTTAAGAATGAGGATACTATTTAGCTGTTCCATCTTCTAGTCCACAGCCTCCATAAACAAATCTAGATACTTCTCTACCTTTAACTCTTTCCCAAATGTATTAACCACCTGGGTGTGTAAATCCTGTTAAATCAATGATTTCATCGTTAAAAATTAACCAAAATTTATTCTAAAATTCATTGTAAATATGAGATTATTCTAATTAATATGATAAAATATCATACCATTCTACTCAATATATTAAATTAACAATGAATCTTAAAGTGTTCCAGAGTGTTCTTTTGGAACTGAATTATTCTTAATCAGGATTAAATATATCTTTCCCTTTTGATATAAGAATTCAAAAATGATTCTCCATAAAAAAATAAAACTATACACACACCAAAAAGATATTATATCACCTTTCCCTTTTTCATTCTGAAGTTTATAAGTCATATAGTATCCAAATCCTAATTAGATTTTCCCAAGAAGATATATTACATATCCCGTATAGATGTGCAGAAGAGATTTTATTTTAAGGTGTGTCTAAGTGTTCACTGATTGAATGCAAAATTTTATTATGACCCCTCCTAACATCTATGAAATCATCAGTCCCAAAAATATATATCCGATTATATTATGAAATCCCTATAAGTTTTGTTTCCCATAAAGAGGAGGTGTATTCCCGGAAAATATCATAAATAATTCGGCTATTATTGAAGGCAAAACTACAATGCTCATTATGATAGCATGAATATCATATTTATTTTTTTTCAATATACCGTATCTATTTGCAATAATTCCCAGATCAACTAGAATTGCCCATCCAATAAAATTAGAATATTAATGAAAGTAAAACAGGACATAATTATCATTACTTTAATCTTCCTAATAGTTGACTTCATAAGGATCTTACTAGCCTATAAATGAATCTTCTAGAAATGAATTTTAAGGATATCGATTGCTCTAGTCTGAACAATAGGACTGTGTAATTGCAAATGCAAAAAACAGCAATTTAGTCAACATTGTATATAATTATTTTATTAGATAATAATTTCACTTTAATGTTGGTTAAAAAGAAAAATTGATGTCATATTATGTCATCAAATCTGCTTGGGAAAATTTAGAGTCTATAGTCAAATTACGTAATCAAGAATTTTATTATATTAACGATATTTTATATTATTAAATATATACACTAATTTTTAAAACCAAAATGTTCATACAAAGAGTAAATTGTTAATAGTTTGGCTCCAAATTTTGTCATAAACCATTTAATAAATTTCCCAATTGAATTTAAGAAATCTATTCATAACATTATATTTAACGAATTGAAACATAAAACCGATTTCATATGCAAATACTAAAACTTTAAAACTTATATGTTTATAATTTTAACAAAATGACTTAATTTATCGACGTAAATATTAATCAGTAAAATTTGAAAAAAAATTATTTACCCTATGCATGGCGTGCTACTTTAAATAAGTTTGTTAAATTGTGTTTTCTATTATATGAATAATTTTATTTAACTCTGATTTGATTTTTAATTAAAACTTGAGTAAATATTTCTAAAAGTATTTATGAATAATGGATCAAATTTGTGATTGAAGAAGTGAGATAGAAAAAACAAAAGAAGATCAAAAAGCACAATATCTTCATGTAAATTAGAATGACTTTTAGAAAATTTAAGTTTAAGTTATATAGTAAAAAAAAATATTATTATAATCATGATTAAAAGGATTCAATTTATCTCTTCCGTTATCATACAAGTAGTTTATGTAAAGATTAATTTTGTGTAACTATTATCTACAGTAGTTTTATTATTATAGTTTTCTAAAAATATCATGAATCTTAAAATAGTTATGTTATTATATCATTCTTTTATAATTTACTATTATATTTAATTTTCAATTTAAAACTAATTTAGTTTAATGGTGATCAAGCCAAAGATGTGACGCTTTAAGTTAATAGATAGTAGAATATCCATACAAGAAGGAATTACCTGGTTTACTCAACTTAATCGTATTTTGAAGATGAAATAATTGTTTTATTAAATGATATTTGAAATAGTATTTTTCTAATTTTTTAAGTTTTAGAATCAAAATAATACTAGCTTTTTTTAAATCTATTTGTTTAGTTTGTCAATAAATTTGGATTCCAAGTATTTGAAGAATAAACTTTAAATTTCGATAGCCCTTATTTATTTGATTTTTTTGTCTTTAATCATATTTTATTCAGCTGAACTAGTTTGGCTTCATATATGCATTTATCAGTATTAGAACTTGATATTTATAACACATAAACTTACCTGAACTTGGATTGAAATTTTGTCATTAAAATTTATGTTACTCTGGTTCTGATTTCCTGCAAACCATATAGTTAAATCATTTGTAACTTTTCATAGTCAGAACTAAGATCAAAGAAAAATCGAAAATAATCTTGTGCAAAGTCTAATTCATTCAATTTAAATATATGTACCTTGAAATATTATAAAGAGATGGATGTAATCGCTCACTTAAATCTGTAAAGTCAATGCTTTTATGAATGGCAATAGCTATTCCACAAAAGCAATCTTTTGGACTTTCAATCTACAAAAATTAGCATCTTTTGAATCTTCAAAGAAGTCACAGCTAATCCACTAAAAATAGATAATGTGAGAATTGCTCATTTGCCATTGTTAAGGTTTAGGGCTTTATAAAATTTACATTCAATTACAATTCAAATATTTTTTTTATATGGATTTGTCATTTTGTTTTATTTCAGAAATTTTGCTTTTCGTATTTTTTTTGTCTTTCCTCTAGTTATGATACCATCATTGTACATTGCAACTTGTCAACAGAAACCGTTTCTTTTGTTCCTCTGGATTATCATTTTAACTTTAATAAGTTGGTTCAAAATTTAAGCGTGTGCTTTGTATTTATAAATTAGTCACATCATCTATCTCATCTTCTAAATCGATGCTTCCGTGTTATTTAATTCTGAACATCTTTAGTTATTTTTAATCTAGAGACTTGATAGCAGCACGGAGGTTAATTCAAAATTTTCAACTGCTTTATGAGGAAAATTAACAGATTTTAGAACAATACCAATTTAGTAACCCAAAAGCTAAACATATTTCTTCGTCTTATACTAATTTAATAATATCTAGCATAAATTTAAACTGAGAAAGGAGTCTGGAATAGTCATGAGGAACTAGTATTCTAAGCTTATGAAATTTTATAATAGCTATTTGCCAATTTGAACACCCCTGAAATGTGTTTGCTTCTTCAACAGCGAGATTATAAAGAGCCCAATATTTTTTTTGTTTTTACAAGATCTAATTTACATTCTACTTCCTTAAAATTAATTTAATTTAAAATACATAGTCTATTTAATATATTCCTTAAATACTGGTGTATTTTTGTTAATGCACCTTTAGAATTGAATAAGTTCATTACGATGTATTCTTTTAACAATTTTTAATCAATGAATGAAAATAGTTCTATTTGATTCTAGTATTTGAGATTCATAATATTTAATGATAACGCAATATTATCTTTGCAATAAAAGTCTGAATCTTTTCAGTCAGAACTAAATTTAAGCATATTCTTGTAATATATCAGAATTAGTCTTAAATAGTCTTTAGAAATTTAAAGTAATATAAATAGCTTTTGATGTACATTAATAATATTTTTAACTTTAGCACTACCATTCATTCGAGCGTCTTCTAATCTAATATTTTAGGCCTGATAAAAATAGAATTAATCTTAAAAAGCGAAATTCTATTTACTACTTTGTCTTTACTATAGTAGAATCAACAGTTAAGATTTAATCATTAACCATTTGAAATTTAAGATATCCTTGATTCAATTATTGATCATATTTCTAATTTCTTTTATCATTTATTCAAAAGCTAATTAAATCCATAGAATAAGTTAAAGATTCTGAATTTAGGTATTGACTTGATACATAATTCTAGCTATCAATTATGAATGAAAAAAATAAAACCTAAACATTTTATTCTAAATTATTTTAATGAAAACAAAATGTCCAAAATATTCTTAAGAAGAAGATAATCTGAAACAACCATAAAAGTCTCAAACCTTCTATTATAAATAGAATCTTAACAAGAAATAAGATGAATTTAATATCTTTAATATATTCATATGCAATACTTATTTCATGATATATTTCTAATTTAGAGAATGTTTTTTATTGAATTCTAATAAACTATATACTATCCGTCGTCACTCACAATAAACTAATTACTTTGAAATTAAATCTCTTAATCAATTTCAAACTTGCCATCTTTATTATTTCTGAAAAATTATAAAACATCCAGTCTCTTAATTACAAGCAGGCCTTTAGAATCTAAATATTATAATTGGTATGGTTTAGAAGAATAATATCATCAACCAAAGATTAAAAGATCTAATTGACTATTTCCACTCAAATTATTTATTAAAATGATTATTTTCATATATATCTAAGGCCTCTCCAAAATTCTTTATAAGTGCAAATAAATCATTATCAATAAAACATAATCGATGACATACTTCAGTGATCCTTTATATAATTATCCATTGAGAGTTTTATTTTGAACATTCAATAATAAAAATATTGTTATCCTTTCCACATGAAATCACTTTATTCTATTGTTAATTTATGCTCAAATGCCTTACACCACTGTTATGTTCTTCAATAGTTTATTGACACTCACATTAAATATTTTTTGTCCAAAATTTAATTGTCTAATCATTACTTCCAGAAACTATCAGATCTTCGTTGTTATTCAAAACTAAACATGTAATTTTATCATTATGTCCAACTAATTTAGATTAGAAAATCCATTCATGGTTGTTATTAATCGACCATATAATAATTTAATTATCTTTACTTCCAGATATAAATTGATTAGACTAATTCATAAAATTCAAAACTACTATTTCTCCCTAATGTGTCTTTAAATTTTGAGTTTCTATCAACATTTCTTATTTGAGTTTAAATATTTTTATTATATTATGATATCCTGCAACCACAATAGAGCAATTTTTATTTATAGCTATTGCCGAACAATTATCAACTTTTACAATAGCATCTTCCACAAGTAATTCAGGAATGAATATCTAATATTATTAATTTTATGAATTTTCATTATATTAATTCTAATCATCATTTTATTAATTCTAATCATCATTTTGTACATAATTAAAGTATCTATTCAAACATACATTTTTATTTTATGCACTCGACTCAAATGGTTAAAGTTAAAGCTCTGATGGAAATCTTTTATTATCAACCTCAAACTCAAAATTTGTTGCCTCCAAAATTTATTGACTCTTCTTTTCAAATAAATCTTTTATTAATTAATATAAATCATCAGAATCAATTAATGGAAAATGAAAAATTCCTTCAATCGATCGATTTGTGTATTTATTAATACCTACTCCAATAGATACTAATTGTATCTATTATAGTTGGACTTAGGTAATAAGTTTTGAAAGATCTTAATAAGAATAATTGTAAAATTGATGATTTATAAAAATTAATTATTTCTTATACTAATTAAATGTATAAGCTAGTCTGAAACATTCTTTAAGAAATTGCAGTTGTCGACACTTTTAATGTCATCATTAAAACATGCAATACAATTTAATAATTAATCTAGATCCTCTTATGTCCACATAAGAGGATCTATTTTTCACATCAATGATAGGATCACCATAAATAGATAAATTACAAACTATCTTGCATTCTTTACATAACTCTATTAATTTATATATAAATGGAATAATAATTTTGATTAGGCAATCTATTGAAAATGAGTATAAATCTAAAACTACTTAAAAAACGTAAAGAGATTTCCCTCCCTTATTTTTTGTTTTCATTATATCTTTAGCAGTTCCATTTGTACAGAAAAATTTAATTATTCCTTTTATGTCTATTGTTGTTCCTTTGGAGGATAAAGAATATTTTGTATATTTACTTATCTCAAGTAAAGATTTTAAATTGTTGGTCTATTTAATATTTATAGAAGAAAAGTCATCGATTTTTTAATTTAAAAAAATTTGAGAATTTACATTTTTAATAATCTTCGTTTTATCTTCCTTTTTCTTGTTTTGTGAAATTTCACTCAATATTTCCAAAAAGCTTTAGGAAACTTCTTTTTTTTTTCACTATTAACATCTAAGTTATAAACCTTTTCTTTATCTATTAAATAAAACTCTGTAATCCCCTCATTTTTTAACTCTTCTTTGCATTGATCTGAGATAGTAAATGTATTTTAGGTGAAAAAAATAAGAAAATCACAAAAGGCCTTATTGTCTAATTCAGCTGGGATTAATTTTTCATTACATTTACCATTCAATGCATAAAGATATGAGCTATCAAATTTAGTGAAATAGGAATCTCTTATTTTTTTTAAAATACAGGATTACACTTTCCAGATAATATAACATCAAACTTCTAATGAAGAAATTGTAATTTAAGGAATAGGTGACCTAACTACATAAGTTATGCTTTGTCATAATTTTATTCAGTTATAATTATTCTACCAATCATAGGAATAATATGCTTTTATTGCTCATTTTTCCACTCATTAGCTTCTGCTGAGTTCAATAGCATTTGATAAGTACAATTACTGCTTTCATTTTGATCTCTTGAAAGTTCTTGAGTTTATTATTTGCCCTCAACATTTGTTTGTTAATATTATTTTTTAATGATAATAAAAGATTTCAGGTCTGCCTCAAAATTCCAATTTTTTAAACAACATATTAAATCTCGATCAATTTGCTATAGTTTTAGTTGATGTCATTAATGGAAATGAAATTATTTTTTTGGTTTTTCTCAGATTCTTTTATTTATTTTTATGCTTATTCTTACAAATTTTATTAAGTTTATTGAACTTAAGATTTTTATTATGATAATTCTAATACTTTTTGACTTTAAGCTTCTTATTTGCTTAGTTGTTAAATAAATCTGAAAACGTCACTATTATGTTAATAAGGTTCCTATTTCATATTTTTTATTTATTTATTCTGTTGATTAAATATCATATCTTTAATAATTTTCTAAGGAGGAGGTATTAAAGAAAAGAAATGTTGTGGGATTACTTCAGTAGGAAAAGGATTTGTATTTTTAATGGCTTTTTATGTTGATAAGATTTTTAATTTCATTTTTAGGTAGTATTGAAAATATATTTTTAGGTGAAGAGAGTTAATTTTTATTTGACGGTTGAGGGGGCACTTGTTGATTGGGTGGAGGAGGATCTTGGTGTAAATTTTTTAGTGGCTTTTTTTAATTATTTGATGGTGATGTAGCAGAAATTTCTTGAATGTTTATAGGTTTTGTTTAAGTGTCTTACTCATCATTTAGTGATGGAGCGGTAATAGTTTGAATGCTTACAGGTTTTGTTTAAGTGTCATACTCATCATTCGGAGATGGAGATGGAGCAAGATTTGTTTTAATATATACATGCTTTATTGAAGGGATATACCTAACTTTAGTTGGTTCAATTTGTACAGGCTTTGGTAAAGGCTTTTATTCAGGTTCATTAATATGATGTTTTTAAAGTGAAGAATCATTATGATGTTTATTTTTATTAGTCGGCGGAGGTAGCGGAGGATTTTGTTTATTAAATTGAGAAGGCTATGAATTATTGATATCGGAATTATCTTAATTAAATTTATTTTTTAGATATTCAAGTTCCTCTGATACATCTGTTTTCAATTCAGCTTCACAAAATTATTTTACCCTCTCTGGTTCCTTATGAATCATTCTTTAAAACTATTCTTAATTTGTATTTTTATTTAAATCTGGAAAAATTTCTTAAATAACATAAAAGTTAGTGATATCACAGTATTAATAAGAGTAATATAAAAACTAAATTTGTGACTATTTTCAAATTTTTTAAAATATGTTATTTCTATTGAATATTCAAGAGTGCATTCATTTTATCCGATATTTCTAGTTTGATAACTAATTTTTAAATACTAATAAATTTAAAAATGAAGTATTTATATTTTTGGAAATAACATTTTAGGAGTATAGTTTTTTTCTATAGTTCTGGTTTGGTTGACTTTTTTAAAATAATGATAATCATATAAATTGTTATTCATAGCAATAAATAAAATTGAATGAATATTATAATTTTGAGTATTTACAATTAATTTATTGATAGGGAGTAAAAGTGCTAAATTTGAGATATTAATACAGAAAATGTAGAAGGAAGAAACACAAAAATTTTAAACGATTTAAAAAAATTTCTTTAATATAATACAATCTCTATAATAAAATAGAAATATAAAATAATACTATTTTTGTAAAAATTAAGACTTTGTGGTTTTGTTAAATTGCTGTATAATAATTTCCAAATCCTATTAATATTTTATCTAAAATTGTTTTCAAACTTAAAACATTATGTAGCAGCAAAAAAACATTATCCATTTTTAATTCTAACTTTTTTAAATTATGAATTTTCTGAAATTTTTTATAATGTTGAATCATAATTTTTGAAAGCCTCTTCAAAGTAAAATTGTTTTCAAATTTACTTAAAATAAAATTAAGATTGATTTAGAAATTTATTTCTCTGCTCAAAATATCCGAAACTTAAATTCTCATATTTTAACTTTGTCGTATAAATTCTTTTTTTGATTTAAAGTAATATTGTGCTTCAAAAAATCGCATAGAATAAATAACTATGAAGGATTCTTAAAATATTATTGTCAAAATTTTTACATGGGTTTATTATTTTAGTCTTCTTCATCTTCATCTTGATATTTTGAATTTAGGTGAAAATCCTTTTCGGTATTTTCATTCGAACTGTGTATAGTTTCTAAAATGCAACTTCCTTTTGATTGAAAAAAATTATTATAAATCTACACCTCTAAGATTAGAAAATCTCCTTTCAAGATTAAAGTTCCTCAAATTAATATGATTGAGATATGAGCAGAATAATTGTATTTTCTTGAAAAATAAGTTATTTTAAATATGTTTAATTATATCAAAATAGCTTTTTACCCTTGATTTGTAGTCTAGATTTCCTCTCCTGTTCCAACATCTCATAAACAGATAAAGTTATCCACGAAACCATTTGCTAATACAGTGCCATCAGGCGAAAAACAAGGTCATATGACATAATCATAATTAAATTTAATTTTGCTTTTTATTGTCCTATCCAAACATTCCATAAACATATAGACAAATCTGAGCTAGCCAAAATTATAGAAATTTAGTGAGATTTGCAAAAAGTTGATCTGATAATCTTATATTTAGTAGAATGAATTTAAATGAAACCTAATTATAAATTTTATGATTTTCTTAGATAAACCATATTTAAGGATCAAATGTTTCAGAATAGGCAAAAGAATATAACATGCGTAAGCATAATGAGAATAACATTCGCAAAAAAGTATATAAATTAATATCACAATAAAAGTAAACATTATAAAAATATAAAAAATAAATAGTAAATAAGCAAATAAGATAGTCTAAATATGATATAAAAATATAGGAAATTTGAATCGGTTTAAAAAATCTTGGCTCAACTATAATTCAAAAATTTAGAAAAATCCAAAAATTCAGACTATTGTATTTTCCAATATTATGGTTATTTACTCTGTTTTATTAAGTAGAATTGTCAATATAGGTTATATATAATTAGATTTCGGAAATATGTGATTCAGAAATATAAAAAATTCAGAGGAATCATAATAAAGGTACAATTAATTATGGATGATCATTGATAAATGATTTCACAGCACATTAGCCAAATGATTAAATTCTTCTTGATGAGTTAATTTTTGTAAGTGCTTCTTAAAGTACTTCATTATCCTCAAAATTCATCACCATTAAGTTCCTCATAAAAAGACCATTTGAGCATATAAAATTTAACTTGAATACTCTGTAGAAAAAATTAAATTATAACAACTCCTTTAATCTATTAGTCTAATAGAAAAATACGAATTTAAATACTATGTTTCATATACTCTTAAAGTAATATTAAATTTCAAATGTCTGTAGTTCTTATAGGATAAATAGGATCTGGCAAGATATCCCTTTATAATAAAATTACGAAATCAAACGAAAGAACATAGATAGGAAATTCAGTCACCAGCAAAGTGTTAAAGAAACAATCCTGCTTTGGAAATGGATTCTAAGTTTTAGATACGCCAGTGGGGTTAACGCAAGATTATATGGAACGTATGGCGGGGGTTCTTTGCACCTTAACTGAAGGGCCCATTAGCCAAATTTTTTTCTCACTTAATATAAAAGAATAAATTTAATAATTCATGATGTAGAATCAAATTTGAATGCATTTAAGAATTACTTGCATATGATTACTGTTGCTGTTACAATTTGGGATTTATGCGATATTAATGAAAGAGAAGAAAATAAAAAAGCTATCATAAAAAAGCTAATTCTAAAATAAATTAATTCAGTATTATTTTTAGGGTGGAAAGAAACTTCTGAGAGTGTTTATGAATAATTTGATCAAATTATTGCAGCTTCCAAAGCAGAACTCATCAATTTAATACCAAAGGATATCTTTGAGAATTTTGATTTAGAAGATTGTGAGGAGGATGTAGTACTCTTACAAGATATAGAATTTAGAGAACGTTTCTTAAGAGGAATTATCCCTTGATTACGTTTATGCCCTAACTTAATATGCAAAAGTAAAATTAGAAGAAAATTTGCTAAATTGTAAGAATAACCTAATTTAACTTTCGGAATATAAATCATATTAAATTCATCATGAACATTAAACAGCATTGTTTAGAGAGTACAACAGAATTATGGATTATGCATGCCTCTGTACAAGCAATGGAAATCATTTTCTAAATATTTAAAAAAATGCGTTTATTGTGGAGAAATATGGCTTAAAGTGGCTGGTTGCGCCTGATTAACAACCTGTGGAGGCCTACTTGATGGTCAAGAGGATGAATTAATAAAATAAGAACCGCCTCCCCAACAATTTATTGTTTTCAATAAGAATAAAAAGTTACAAATTATTCATAAATAACTATTTCAATCTTCTCGACTCTAAACATAAAGATCCAAATGAAACTATTAAAGTTGAACCAATTGGATGTAAAAGATCAATAAATTGGAGTGACATGATTTCATTAACAGAGAATGAGTTAAAAAATGCTTTAGGGATTTTAGATTAGAAAATTTGCGATAATATAAATGAACAAGAAAAACTATATTAAGAGCGAACAGAAAAATAATACGCCCAATACAAAAAGGAGCTTGACAAGAAAATTTTGGAGTAAAGAGAAAATATGCTTTAAGCCTAAAGATATAATTTAAACATTTAGAAATAATTCAGTTAATTTATTCACTATATTTTATGTAATTTTATGATGTAAATTTCTTGATAGGAGAAAGTCAGTTTTCCAATCTATTAGGATATATATATTAGTCAAAATTATAAATTGAGTAATTTATTGCTGTCTTAAAAAAAATATGTGAGATTGGGTTTGTAAAACGACTTTTTTTTAGTGTTTGTAATTTTTCGGCCCAAAATTATAGTTAAATTAATGTTATAGCTGAAATGTTTTAGACATAAAATACCTTTATTACTAAAGGAACGATGGCCCCATTAAAAATATAACTTTGTAAGTAGGTTGTGAAGATCTATATGACTATCTAAGACAAAGATAACAATATCATTTTGAAATGAGAACTATTTATTTTATATGAAGAATTTTGTTGGGTTTTATTTTTCAAGCTTTAAATAATTTGCTTCTTTATAAATAGAGCTAGATTATTAAATAATATCTTTGTAGAATCATCTTCCCATGGATTAGAATAATTTATTAAAACTTATCTAAGTTGAGCCCTTCAAAAATCTCATGTATAATTGATATCTAAGCATAAAATTAAAATTTGATAAAATATTTCAAATTGTAAATTCTTAAGAAATCATTTAAGACTAAATATGATTTAGATTACAAAATGAAATCAGCAATTTTCAAAATGGAAGTTTTCCTTGAAATTTAAGGATGAATATCCAACAAAGGAAATTCATCTATATATATATTTATTATATATACAAGTTTTTCTGAGATCAACTACTTACTTGCTGACACATGAATCAAACAAATAAAATTAGTATAGACTTACTTGTAGGGATGTTTTTTATAACTTTAAATTTCAATAATAAAGATTTATTTTTTTGGGATTTTACTTCTCCTCCATTTTTGAATTAGCAAAAATATTTATATATCCAAATATTATTCCTATCATATAAAAGGTGTTCCTTATTCACATAAATATAGGTACTTTTATAATTTATATACTTCTTATGTCCTAACCAATTTTTACTCCTTTTCCTACACCAAATATTCCCTCAAAAAAAAGCGATATAACAAATAATTTCTTTAAGCCATCTTATGATTTAATTTATTTATTCGAAAATTTTATTAAATGCAGAAATTGGCTTACATAGTCATCAAGAAAATCGTTGATTTCCAAAGATCATCCTAAAATAGTTAGAAAAGGAAGGCTTCAGATCAAAATAAACGAAGAGAGCTGGTTAGGACTTGATTACCATAATACCAAAAGTTATTCTTTTCGAATTAGGGGCAATTGCATTATATTTCTTTATTTTACTAAATAATTCCTTTGGTCAATAGATACTTTAAATTAGGAATTCTAAAATAAAGAATACTTTCAAGAATTTAGTACTGTTAAACTTTAAGAGTTTTTTGAATTGCATTTTCCAAAGAAAAAAAATTCATATAAAATGAGATGCTCCTTTTTTAGATATATAGGCCGTTCATTTTAAAATAATAAATAATAAGTTTCTTTCTGGACATTAATCAGTCAAAGAAGTACATAATATCAAATCATAAACTAAAGAAAGATTTGCAACGCTATCTTGTAATCTTGGAGGGATAAGAGTTGCTTATGGGGAATGAATTATGAAATTGAAAAGCCATTAACCTTGTTGGTAACTAATGGAATTGATTTCACTTTGAACAAGGCTTATATTAACAATTAATGAAAATTCTATTTAATTTTAAAAAATTGCAAATAATTTTATATAGAATCCAGATTTGCATTTAAAATTTAGACCCTAAATCACTTACATTACTATTGAAACTCTCGTTATAAGACTTAAACAATTTAGACACTCAAAAAAGTGTTTAAAATTTATTTCTATATTTCTATTTTATTGGCTATATTATGTGTAAACAATTCTATAATTAATCTTCCATAAATATTCAAGGTTAAAGTGGATACACCCAAAGCCAGAAATATCTAATTATCCTTTTGCAGTTTTAAATTTTATTTGATCAAAGTTTTACAGAGTCCAAATTTAACTTTAACAATTTCCAAAATTCTAAAATTCCCAGAGTTCTTAAATTTTATTTTACCTAAATACTTATTTAGTCGCAGTCTCTGTAATCATATATAATTAAATTCTAACTTCATATTCAAAGTTAGAGAATTTGATAATTGGTATCATTTAGTTAAAAAGGTAGTTATAGAGCGAACTAAGAATTGTATAAATAGGGTTTGGGTTTGGGGTTGGGTTT